AAAAAAATTTATGTCAACTCTTAGTGGTATAATTAGGCGGAATGTTCCACTACCAGATTTTTCCTACTCAAATAGAGGTATGTCATTATAAACCACCAAAGAAAACTTCTTTGTGAGAATTAAAGACGTCATATCTATAAGAACTTTCTTCTAGGTCCAATGGCCTAACTTTATATACGAATTATTTTTCATGTATTTATCACAGTGAGGATAATTTGGTCCTATGAAAATTCAACCCCACACATATTAGCCTTGGCTTGGATTCTCTTTTTCAGGCTGCCAAGTTGCATACAACTCCTTTAAAAGTCCTTCTCCACGAAGCCCTCCCTCTCCCAGCCTCACCCCGCCCCGTTAAAAAAATATATGTTCAGTAAAAAGTATTTCTGGAGCCTCTAGGACAGTGGTTCTCAACCTTCTTAATGCCGCGACCCTTTAATACAGTTCCTCATGTTGTGGTGACCCCCAATTTCATTGTTACAAATTGAACATAATTAAAGCATAGTGATTAATCACAAAAACAATATGTAATTATATATGTGTTTTCCAATGATCTTAGGCGACCCCTGTGAAAGGGTCATTCGACCCCCAAAGGGGTCGCGACCCACAGGTTGAGAACCGCTGCTCTAGGAGGTGAAGGTGAATTATAAGTTTGCTCCTCGTGGGCACCAAGACCATACGGTGTATGCCAGAGCACTGGCCACTTGCCTTGAAGCTGGGTAGAACTTTGGGATGAAGTGAGGATAGTGGGCTGGAGAACTCTCTTATTATGATTTTCTTTGTTATGGAAGACCCAAAATAAAGGGCTGCTTTTGCCCTGATGTTTTAGGGAAAGCAATGCTTTACATTTGCACTTGCATGCTGTTCTCACACCCTCTCTCCTAGCGGAGGTCAAAGGCTGTTCTGGGCTCCTCAGGCCAAGAAGGACTTCTTCTGGGTACACCCTATCAGTTGCTCAGTCAAGTCCAGATCTTTTCATCTTACTTGACTTATGATGGGACACCAACACCCACCTCTCTCACTGTCTCACCTCCTCCAGGAACTGTTAACTTGCACACTTCTGTCCTCCCTTTTCTGAACTCCATATCCTGTAGGAAATGCACGCTTTTAAATCTTTTTAGTGTAATAGCTTAATTCTGTCGTCCACACAGCACAACTCTAAGCTCACTTAGGACAAGAATCTCCCAATAAAACCCTCCCGTCTTCTTCCACTACACTGGCTGAGGGTTCAGTCAATATTTGCTTGACTGAATGTGACACATAAAGATGGCTTCTCTTAGTTAATGAGAAACAACCTCTCTTCCCTCCAAACATGGAAAAGAACAGACTTCCAAACAAGGAACCACATATCCCAGCGTCCCTCTTCCTTTGCTTAAACATGGAGGTGAACACTGAGATTTGTAAAACAGAACAAATCGAAATGTCAACCATACAAAAGCTCTAATATGCCTTATTTATTTGATTGCAGGAACCCCCTTACCACAAACCAAGTCTTTAGGTGCATTCGTCCTGCAGAAAATCGCTGGACGAATGCAGGGTTTCTCACATGCAGGTTTACATGGGCCAGTTGATTGTGTTTGCTGAACAAGGGGCCACTGTGACCAAGGCTGGATGTTGGCTCCTCCCGGGGTCAGTTTGCTTCACACAACAAGAAACCCTTCCACAGGCAAAGCCAGGCCTCATTTAACCCCTGCCCTTCCACCCTCAAATTAATCACTGACCAATAATATTCTCTTGCCTGAAAGGAAGACTGCATAATTTCCAGTAAAAAGTGGTGCCCGAATCATGTGCAGTTTGTTCCTACTGCACCATTTTCTTCAACAATGAAGAGATTTTTTTTTTCAGCAGCAGTGGCATAATCAGAGCATACTATGATAATTGGATATAAAAAAATAAAGTCTGAATAAAAGTGTATCTCACTAAACATGCATTAGGTACCTACTGTATTTGCTAAGTACCCACTATGTATTTCACATTGAGCAATGACTTAATAAGCAGCGATTAAAATAAGTGGTAGGGGGAATAAAAAGCTGGAAGAAACCTAACCTATCGGATTTCTTTTAGAGGAAAGGAAACTGAGGTCCCGAGAATTTGTTCTTCCTTAAGGCATGAAACAAGTTAGAGACAGAGTTGAATCAGAGCTCTGGAGACAGATAAAATCAAAACAGCAATTCTAAAATATTGTGCAACCTAGATTTGAGACATAGTTGGAAACTGTCCAGTATCAAAGAATGTTATGTTAGTAATCTTCATTTAACTAGTCTTTTTTTTTAACCTTTAAAATTTTTATACTATCAGCTTTTATTGTTGGCTTGGCTTTTATTAATTTCATTAGAAGTTTTATTTGAGGTAGAAACCTTTACTAATGTTAACATCACCAAAGAAACCAGGTAAATTAGAACTGGAGTCCAGACCAGATTGAAAGATTTAACTTTATGTGGTATATATGAAAACTGAGACCTGAAGAAAAATAATAGAAATTTTTAATATTAGAAAATTTCTAATTTATAAAAGTAATGGACTATTAGAGAAAGTTTGGGGGAGGAGGATGTATCACCCGAAGGGGTCCAGCATATACCACTGTGGCATTAAAATTATTTTGAGCAGAAAGCATTTGAGGTCCCAGAGGAACTCATCTGTCATAAATCTCTTCCCTGGGAGTAACCAGGGAAGAAGTTGGGCTCTGATCACCAGAGATAAGGCATACCTCACCTAAACAGGCATGTCACAAAAACTTGCCCACCTATTCCCCTAAGGATTCATTTAATTTTCATTAAAAAGTCAGAGCTCTGGAGTTTTGTTTCCCCATAAATACTCTTTCTCCCCCTCCCCTTTTCTTTTTAAGAAGTCACTTGTATTCCTGTAAGTGCCTTTTCCCCCTTTCTTTTCTGCTATTAAGATGGTTTATAAGCCCCGAATTCTAACCCTCCCTTTATAGTCACATTTTTATGTGAACTCATCTATGTACATTAATAAAACTATGCACCCCTATGTTCATAGCAGCACAATTTACAATAGCTAAGATTTGGAAACAGCCTGAGTGCCCATCAGCGGATGAGTGAATTAAAAAACTTTGGAACATCTACACAATGGAATACTATGCTGCTATAAAAAAGAAGGAACTTTTACTATTTGCAACAGCATGGATGGAACTGGAGAGCATTATGCTAAGTGAAATAAGCCAGTCGGAGAAAGATAAATATGACATGATCTCACTCATATGTGAGATATAATGATGAATATAATTTGATGAACAAGAATAGATCCAGAGACAAATGGCGGGGGGGGGGGGGGTCAATTGGGGAAAATGGAGACTTATGTAAAACTTTAGACAATAAAAATTAAAATAAATAAAAATATAAAACTATGTGATTAAATTTGTGTTTTCTCTTACAAATCTGTCTTTTGTCAGTTTAATTCACAAGACCTCAGGAACTGCACCTAAGAGGATAGAGGGAAAGTTTTCCTTCCTGACACAACATCAGTTCAACACAACTATTTTCAATTTTGCTTATTTCCTACAATTGTTTCAACTGTGTTTACTTTTTACATCATTATAATCATCGTTAACATTACAATATAAGCACCCGTCCACAATGCCACATAACCCTTCAAATTATGACTTCCTAATGACTGCAACATACTTCATTGAGATTATACATAAAAAGTTCCTTAACTAGCCTTCTACTGTTGGATATTTAGGTTGCTTCTAATTTTTTAAAGTTATAAACAACTTGGGGAAAAAATTTTGAAGATAAACCTTTCCATTATTCTATAAGTTAGCTCCCAGTGCTGTGGCCTTTGAAAAGGGAATGTTGGGTTAAGTATTTATCTCAGGAAAATGGCAATTAGCGGTAAAGTAACAAAGGAAATGTAGGACATGCTTTTATAAACTAAATATGTCTCAGATAAACTCATAAAGAAAGGCCACGGAAAAAACAAAAACCATTTTGTGTCTGGAAGATGTGCAAACATGACGAGAATTATCCAGTAAAAGGCATTACTTGGACGAGGTAATTTGAAACCCAGAAAAAGGTCCCTTGGCCATTGTTCCCACAAAACAAACAAAAAATAATAATAGTGGATTAATTTAGCAACAAGTTTATGGAAGATTGGGTGAATGAGTTTGTTTTAAGTGAAAAGGGCCAATTTAAGAGTTATTGCTGATGAAAGTTCCATTATCAAACCTTCATTTGGTTTTCATTAGCTTTCACTTGAAGAAAATGATAAACCATTAGGCAGAAAGCAATTGCTGCTCGCAGTTATCTGACCACCATAGGAACAATCGAGTTAGCCGAACCTTTCCCCCCAGCTACTGCTCTGCATTTAGCCATTAGTCCTCCATTAGGAGGGCCCAGGTACCAGCCATTCGAACAGGCAATCGATTGGGAGATTTCAAGTAGCAACAACAAAGAAAAGTTTGTTGTGAAGAACCACAAGCTATTCATCTCTGTAAGGAGAGGGGGAAACACACACACAACCAAACTACATTACAACTCAATTTAGAACTTTTTCTTACCTTGTGATCTAAGGAGGGAAAATCAATTTTCATCTCAGAGCCCCATTTTCTCCTATTAGATTTCTCTACAGTGGGCTTTCCAGAAATGATGCTTGATTATTTCTGAGTCACAACTACTTAAAATCCACATTTATGAACCATTTCCTAGGTAAAAGCTGAGGAAATTACAGCAAGTTCTCTGGGCCCTTATGTTCCCTCTCTTTCAGGAGTTTAGATCTAATCAGCAGCTGTAGCAATGCCTATTATGATCTTCCCTCAACACTTCTATCAGGACCAAGAATATGAACCTTCACCTAAAGTGTTTCATAAACTACCAGGAGTCCCTTTTTCTCCCTTTCTTTTCTTTTCTCTTCTTTTCTTTCTTTTATTTTTATTGCCAGCTGGTAGTTAATCCAAATACTGCTTTAGACATACATTGTCTGCAGGAATCCTCATCTGGTCAGCTGCAAATGCGTCCCTTGAAAAACAAACAAGAAGCACTTACCAGTTAATTTTCTGAAAGCAGAGGCGCTATTGTGATGCCTGGGTGTGACCTCCCTGCTGCAGACTGGAACGCAGGGTGGTTTTCAGAACTGCTACGTTGTGTACTCTTTCCCTGCTTCCTCCTTTGGCTTTTATCTGGCTGTTTGAAATGACACTGTAGAGGAGAATGATGCTGGGTTTCCTCTGAATGTGGCTCTTCCCTTCCTCCTCCACCCTCCATAAAAATTCACCCTGCTTTCCTGGAGGAAAGTAAGCAAGGAGCATACTGCCCCAATTAATTCTTTTGCTCGGCCTGTGCGTGTGTGTGTGTGTGTGTGTGTGTGTGTGTGTGTGTGTAACTGAGATTTGTTTTCTTGAATGGAAATCATTGCCATTGGCTGCAGTGCCACAGGCTGAGGAACTAGGGGTGGGGGAGGCACCCATGCCTCCTTTGTTTGGGTGGGCTTGAGCCTAGGAAAAGTCAAATTAAATCTCATTTCAACAATGGAATGAAAAGAACCTTAGAAATGTCAAAGGAGAGCTCTTCAAATGCCCTGGGTTTCAGTGTATTTCTGAGAGGGAAGAGAATTGGAATCACATTATCAGTTAGGCGAGCATTTTAGCTGTGGTGTGTGTGTGTGTGTGTGTGTGTGTGTGTGTTTTACTGAGGCAGGTTGAGAGACAGCTTGCCAGGCTCTGAGGAAATTAAAGGTTGGATTTTTATCTCTCATCTCCCTCGTGGGCCTGGCAGATACGGGCTCGTCTGTGTATCTGAAACAGGACTCATAATTCAGAAATTCGCAGGGAGAGCTTGGGGGGCGGGTGGGCGGCGGGGGGTGAAGGTGAGCAGGCCTTGATGTGGTTAGCTTCCCTCTGCAGGGCTAACGTGATTATTTGGGGAAGGTCTAACATCAGCTTGACCATGTGATATTGGAAATCGAATGTTATTAGGTCCTGAAACATGGGTGGGCCACCTAATTGAACATGGCTTGAGGAGCACACGGCTTTGTGTCTGACTGCTGTGCGAGGCTGCCGGGAGCACCGGGTGCCACCCCAAGTGTGCCTCTTTGGCGTAAGGCTTATTTTGAGCTGATTATTTTTGAAGAGACTGCAGACCCGGAAGAAGCTTGGAAAGCAGGCAGTAGTTACCCTTTTGTGAGGGGAAATCTACATTTATAAGAGACATTTACATTAGAAAGGGGGCCTGTATCAGGAAGAGAGCTACTACTGGAGATCATTTTTTCATCCTGGAGGCTTATCTGCCTGTCAGGGCAACCTTTGTTTCCCAAACATTTCCTCTTCTCACCTTCCTGTGAATTACCTTCCCCTCCTTTAAATCCCAGACCCCTATCCCTTTCCTTAGCTCAGGATCCTATATAATCCTCAATCTTCTGGCCACCATTTGAGGCTGGTATCTTTGTGGGTCTCCTGAATGCACGTAATTAAAGTTGTTTTGTGTTTGTCCTCCCCTCCTCCTGCTCGTGTCTTTTTACACGGGGTCTTAGCCACGAACAATGAAAGGTAGAGGGAAAATGCTCTTTCCTCCCCTCCAAGACCAAGTCTAGAAGATTTAAAGCAGGATCCTCTGAGTAGTGGGTAAGGGTGGAGTGGGAGCAAATGGGAATAACCCTGGGGGATGCTTTTTCAAACTACAAATTTCCCCCTGCCTATGAGGATGTGCTCCCTCACATTTTCCCCCCGGGTCCCAATCCCTTGATTCCACAGAAGTAACCACCAGTAATAATCCTGGCCTACCTCTTTTCAGTATGACCCCAGCACAGATGTGCTGGCTGAAGGAGTAGCAAGTAGTAGAGCACTCTGCTTAGGCACCAGCTCCCACTGCTTTGCTTCAGCAATGTGAGCATTTACTACTAGTTATATGCTACCTTCTGTCGTCACACAAAAGCACAATTTCACCCACAAAAGACATTTTTGAGAAGAATTTTAAGTGTTGGTTACTTTACACGGTTTCGAGTTTATTTTTTGGTGGCAGAGCGGCAAGCATTGAGGAGCAAAGGATAGAGAAGGATGAGAAATGACATTTGGCGAACAGTTACTAGGTGCCAAGCATAGTTTAAGCACAGTACACACCGAAACTCAGGAAAGTGTACACATTTGTATGTTTCGCTACCACCTAAAACAATAGAGTTGAAACATATGATTACTTACCTTTAAAATTGGTCCAAAATGCCCTAACCGGTTTGGCTCAGTGGATAGAGCGTCTACCTGCACAGACTGAAGGGTCCCAGGTTCGATTCCGGTCAAGGGCATGTACCTTGGTTGCGGGCACATCCCTAGTAGGGGGTGTGCAGGAGGCAGCTGATCAATGTTTCTCTCTCATCGATGTTTCTAACTCTCTATCCCTCTCCCTTCCTCTCTGTAAAAACAAAATCAATAAAAATAAATAAAATAAAAAATAAAAATTGGTCCAAAAAACTCAGGAACAGTAAATCAAATGCCTCAGCTGCACATTTGAGGAGCTCCCTTAAGATGTGCCTTAAAGTTGGTCCATTATTCAAAAACAGTTGAAGCTGAAGTGCCACCCTTCGTGCAGTGAGTGCAGTGGACATCAGCCAGGCTGTTGGGTGGTGCATTGGTTAAGCTGGTGAGTCAGCTCATTGGAGATCTAGTAAGATGGCCTCTCCTGTCTGTTGCAGAGTTGGAGTTCAGTCCCAGGCACTGACTCTACACACCACATTTATAGCACATAGAGATGCTATGCAGGGAACAAGATAACAAAGAGGGGTCCTGGGTGATCTTGTGCTCTGGTGCAGTGGGTGTGCCCCGAGGGGTCCAGTAAAGGAGATTACGCTGACATTTCAAATGAGATGTTATCTTGGATACAAAAAAAGGCAATAGACAGGCTCCCTTAAGGTAGAGATTGACCTTTGTCAAGGTCTGGGATGAGACTTGACTATCGCCATAACTCACTTTTAGTTAAAAATTATGTTCAGCTTGGCTGGTGTGGCTCAGAGGTTGAGCATTGACTTATAAACCAGGTAGTTATGGTTTGATTCCTGATTAGGGGTTGTGGGGTCGATGATCCCCAGTAGGAGGCATACAGGAGGCAGACAATCAATGATTCTCTCTTATCATTGATGTTTCTATCTCTCTCTCCCTCTCCCTTCCTCTCTGAAATCAATTTTTTAAAAAGACACAGTATCTGTATAATAATAATAATAATAATAATAAATGTTCAGATGCTCCTGTGTGGTTGGTTACTTTCAGTCTCTGCATTTGTGTGGCCCACCACACTGGCTTCCCCTGAACTTTTCAGATTTAGTATGTGGCCCCTTTTCATCCCCACTGCCCCCTTTTGGTCATAAATCAATCCAAAGGATGCATTAACATCCGACCCTCTTGATTGGATAATGTGGTCCCACAGTACTAGGAAGGCTTATTTTTGGGAAGTTTCTCTCCCCCCTCCCCGCGCCCCCCCCCCCGCCCCCTGCCTTCATTTAGGTGTTTGTTCCTTCCATTGTTTCACCATTTCCTAAAACAGGCCCAAAATTTTAATAAAAACTATCCTACCCATTTCCCTTCCTGTCCACCTCATCCCTCCCACACCCAAATGATATGCCAGTAATAGCCCAAAAAGTACACACTTGCTATGTTGCAGAAATGCAGTTAACTCTATTGGGAAGGAGATGCTCGCTGAAGATCTATAACAAGCATGTCAAACTAGTGGCCCGCAGGCTGCATGCGGCCCAGCCAATATAACGGTATATAAGAAACGTTTGGATAAAAATTCCATAACTTAATTTTTACAATATTCTGTTATACATAATTATTAATAACGAACTACAATGTTCACTAATGACTGATTACTATAATCCTGTTGCATTCATTTCCCTTATACCAGTGGTTCTCAACCTGTGGGTCGCGACCCCTTTGGGGGTCGAACGACCCTTTCACAGGGGTCGCCTAAGACCATTGGAAAACACATATATAATTACATATTGTTTTGTGATTAATCACTATGCTTTAATTATGTTCAATTTGTAACAATGAAATTGGGGGTCACCACAACATGAGGAACTGTATGAAAGGGTCGCAGCATTAGGAAGGTTGAGAACCACTGCCTTACACGCTTTACACACAGTTATGCACAGGCGCACCATTTCTCTCCACTAATACTAGCAGCGAATATTTTAGTGGCCAATTGCCACATCATTAGTCTTGAACTGACTTGTTTGGTGTGCGCAACAGAAAATATTTCACTTTCAGAGAACAAGAAAACTAGGTTTATTTGTGTTATGCTTATTAATTTGTGCAGTTGTTCAGTGTCTGATAAGTTAATGTTCAAGAAAAATATTAATGTTTATTAAAATGTTCTATTATTTTATGTTAACGATGACTCATTTATTTCAGCCCTTTGTATTCAGCATGTGTCTATCAAAATAAACCTACTTTTCTATGAAAATTGAAGCTTTTGTTTTTTTGCGGCCCACATAAACTTATACCTCCTTTATTTGGCCCGTGTTAGCCTTTGAGTTTGACTTGCTTGATCAACAGTGTCTTCTTGCTCTCCCACACAGCTATTCTGCAAGTTGTGTCCCTCATAGAAGGCCCTTTGCTTTTCTCAGCAAAGTACAGAATGGTTTGCCTTGAAACATACTTCCCCCTCCCCTGGGATTGGTGTGCAAACTGTACAGCATGGAAAGGCTTTAAAGCACCGGGCCTGCTGTAGGGCACAGAAACTATACTGGCTCTATACTGGCTCTCTACCACCAAAAACTATAAAGGACATCTTCTCAAGCCACCTCTTTGTGTCAAATAGAACTCCCTTCTCCTCCCCACTTGAAACCCACAGTCAGATGTGACAGGGGCAGGTACTCGGGAGAATTAATTCTTGTCACATCCTCTGAGGGGTAGGAATGCCACGTCAACCTTTCCCCGTAGAGGATATGACAACCTAGGGGCACCTGACATCGGCTTCCTTTGCAGGGCCTAGGTCAGTGATGGCGAACCTTTTGAGCTCGGCGTGTCAGCATTTTGAAAAACCCTAACTTAACTCTGGTGCCGTGTCACATATAGAAATTTGTTTGATATTTGCAACCATAGTAAAACAAAGACTTATACTTTCGATATTTATTTTATATATTTAAATGCCATTTAACAAAGAAAAATCAACCAAAAAAAATGAGTTCGCGTGTCAGAGGTGACGTAGGTTCTCCATCACTGGCCTAGGTCAACCTCCTTAGAGTTTTTCCATTTCATCAGGAACATGAGTTCTCCAATGGAGCCTGTCTCTCCAGTAATCTGCTCCACTCCAAACCCCGGGAAAGCCTCTTGGCTGTAATGACACTTCTTTCTTCTTTGATTTGCTCTCCTCTCCCTTAGCTTCAGAATCAGAATCAGGTGATTGTGTGTGCGTGTGTGTGTGTGTGTGTGTGCGCGTGTGTGTATGTGCGTGTGTGTATGTGCGCGCGCTTACGCACTTCTGATTTATCCGTCTCATGTGTGGTTTTCTGTGACTGTAGAAACTCAGCAATAAGGTCAGGGAATTCAGGTTGCATTCCTGGAAGTCTTAGTGTCATCATTTGTCTTGCTGAAATGGTGGACCACTAGGATGGGGTAAGAGCATAACCTTAGAGGGAAAAGTCAAACCTGCCTGTTGTCTTTTTGCATCTAAGATAACAGACCTTTGAAACGTCAAAGTAATCTCATTTCCCAGAATGCTCAGGGCACACCCACTGCACCAGAGCCTGAGACCACACAGAACCCCTCATTGTCACCTTGCTCCCCGAATACCACCTCTCTGTGCTGTAATTATTACCTACTCTGTACCCACCATGCAAAATAAGTACGCGTCTCTTTGTGTCCCTTTGTGTCCAGTCCTAGAGATCCTACCCTTTGCTTTCTCCTGCCCCTTTAATCTACTGAGGAGACAGAAGGAAACTAGGTAGACAGGGACGAGCCATGGGGGAGAGGAAGTAGAACCCAGGAACCAACTGGGGAGAGTTACTAAGGCAACCCAGCTGGGCAGGGAAAGAAGGGCACACAGGAGACATAAACTTTAAAATGTCTGGATGTTGCTAAGACAAGCAGCTTACGGAGATAACTAATCACAAGGCAGTGAGGCGTATAACCAATCCCAAGAATGTTACTAAGGCAAAACTCTTAGAAAGAAAGAACCAATCAGGAGCTAGCAAGGCATGTGTCTGCCCCTAGACAAAAAAGTGCGCTCGCTCGCTCTCCCCCTCTCCCCCCCAATCCAGGCTGCAACATAAAATGGAAACTCTGGACATGGATCTGCTTTTGGAATCCCAGCTGCACCTTTTCCAGGACTGGCTTCTCTCAATAGACTTTGCTTCTGCTAACTGTTTTTGTCTACAGATTCATTCATCGATTTTGCGAGACAAAGAACTTAGACCTAAACCCCACATTTTGATTTCACGGCCACCAGTGGACTTCATGTAACCCTCCTGAGGTCTCCTCTTCTTATTCTAATGTATAAAATAAGCTGCAAAACTGACATTCTCTGATGCATTTTCTCAATCCACTGAGAATTTGCCTCTGAGGTTTGGATGTGTCTTGCGTCAACATATTTATTTTTGTTAATGGTCATTTCTAATCCTTTTGTTGTTGTTGTTTGTACAAAAAAGAAAAAAAAATCATCCCAGAACATAACCACTGGAAAAGAGATAGTATACAAATGGACAGTTTTTAAATAAAAGAGACTGATGTGTGAAAAGTGGAAAGACTTCCCTGCTTTCCATGTGTTACCTCTTGTCATGCAAGGAGGTGACTGTCTCCTTGCGTACGTGCCTTTCTCAGGCCTGTTTCTTCGGGGTAAGCAGGGATGGAGATTAGACTTTGGGGCCTTGATTGGGTTGAACAGCGAGGCTGGACCCAAGCAAAGCTTTTCCTCGGCACTGAAACAGGACGCCCCAGCGCAGACTCAGTGGCCCTGGGAGGTCACATGGAGGAGCCATGCCAACCTGGCCATAAAGGGCAGCATTCATGCCTTTTAAACCAGAGGCTTCTTAAAGGCCACTGAGGACAAAGCCTTTTGCACATTCTTGCTTTTAATTCTGTATGGCCCCTGCAGGAACTGAGCCTTGAGGATGCTGAGTAAATATGCTAGGGGATTTAGCTCTACATCTTTTTAATTAAGATACACAAAGCTCTAATTACCTGCAGAAATGCCGGGAACAGCGTCCATTGTTATCTCTAATTTGAATAAACCTTCCCTTTTAATATGCCAAATGCCAAATCAAATGAGGTCCAAATAGGAGGATTTAGCCTGGTTTTCTTAACTAAATCTCAGATGCTCAAGGCCCGGAAGCTTTTGGAAGGCAAAGAAAACACTCACCTCTGGAAAGGTGCCTGTGGCGGCCGCCGCCGGGAGGGTCGTGGGCAGAAGCCTCGAGCTCTGTTCTCTGAATCTTGGTGGTTAATAATTTCTCTGGGAGAACTGGTTGCGGCTACCCTGAGTCTTGGAAAAATTGTTTCCTCTTTTTGTAACCAAGGGAGGCCAATAATCTCTTAATTTACTGCTCTAGAAAAAGAAATGCAGTTTGCCAGTGGTTAAATAAATCTGGTGTGTATCACTTAGTCGACAGGCATCTGGGTGACACCACCCTTGGCCCTGACTCAAGAGAAAGGATTGCTCTGGGAGTTCAGGCCGCTCCCAACTATTTACTCTAATTATGCTACTTCTCTTGTTAAACTGCACATTATGGTTATGATGTAAGTGTATCTGGATCTTCCTAAAATGTCACATTTTGGGCTAGAAAAAGGTTTGGAGAAGAAAGCGCATTTGCTTGACTTCTTTAACTGGTTCAAGCACTGCTTGCATTTTTCATTAGGAAAGTGGTTGCCTGGGGCATCCTGCAGCTGCTGATGTGTTCTGTTTGTGCTGTGCAGTGTTTTTTAGTGTTTGAATTAATTTCCATCATTTAAAAATCAGGAGATCCAGATTATCAGCTCCTGAAAAAAAAACAAAACACGGCCAGATCTGGTAACCACAGGCCTGCATCCCACAAGGATACAGTTGGAGGAGGCTGAGTACTGGCGGCTCCCAGTGCTGCCTGACCAGCTCTGGCAGGTGTGACCTCCACTTCCTCACCTTTCTCCCCTGCCCCCGTCACTCACCCACAACATCCATCTGGACCCTCCGGATCCTGCACCTTCAACCCTTGTGTCCCTTTTTAATTATTTTCCTGTTGAGTTTTTTTCAATTTAGGAAAATTGAGCACACAGAAAGCTAAGTCATCAAGCACTCATTTTTAATGCATAAGGAATTTTATGTTTGCTCATTTAAAAAATATGAATCCCCTAGTAAAATCTGAATGCATTATACAATATGAGGAAATTGACAAAACCAACTTAACCAGCTTAACTGTGGAACAGCAGTGTGCCAATGCAGGTGCAATGGGTAGTGGTCTGCCCGCTGCCAGCAATAAAGAAGTGCACCTCCTGTAGGGAATTTAAAAACAGTAATAAAAAGCAGGGCCTTTCTGCGTTTATGTGTCAGCAATTCTAAACAAGGTCAGTGATGAAATACTCCTCCCCTCAAAAAGTCTTCTGTTGCCGAAACCGGTTTGGCTCAGTGGATAGAGCGTCGGCCGGCGGACTGAAAGATCCCAGGTTCGATTCCGGTTGAGGGCATGTACCTGGGTTGCGGGCACATCCCCAATAGGAGATGTGCAGGAGGCGGCTGATCGATGTTTCTCTCTCATCGATGTTTCTAACTCTCTATCTCTCTCCCTTCCTCTCTGTAAAAATCAATAAAAATATATTAAAAAAAAAAGTCTTCTGTTGGCCAGGTGGTTCAGTTGATTAGAGTATTGTCCTCATACACCAAGGTTGTGGGTTTGATCCCTAGTCAAGGCACATATAGTAATCAACCAATGAATGCATAAATAAGTGGAACAACAGGTTGATGTTTCTCTCTCTGATATATATATATATTTTGTTGGCTTAAATTCTAAAAATATTGCTGTGTCTGGCCAGTGTCACTCAGTGATTGAGTGTTGAATTATCCACCAGGAGGTCAAGATTTGATTCCCAGTCAGGGCCTATGCTCTGATTGCGGGCTTGATCCCCAGTGTGGGGCATGGAAGAGGCAACCGCCAATGGATGATTCTCTATCATCATTGATGTTTCTATCTCTCTCTCTCCCTCTTCCTTCCTCTCTGAAATCAATAAAAATATATTTAAAAAGATAATAAGATAAAAATATTTGCCATGATAATGATGCATTTTAATCATATATATACTTATATATGTAACTTTTATTTTTAATAGACAATGTGGATTACATAAAAGTTAATTCATTATTCTTATTTTAATGTTTAATAAACAATGTGTTTTACATGGAAGGTCACTGAAAAAAACTACCATTTATAGAGTCACCCCCATGCCTCACATGGACTCAGTTAATCTTTCTTTTGAGATTAAGTTGGTAATGGTTCCAAGTTATTGGTGCAGTTTGTGTTGCCCTACATTTAAATGATAGATTTGAAATACAGACTGATAGCACAATCATGGTAGAGATGAAAAAACAAAACTGGCCCTAGCCAGTTTTGCTCAATGGTTAGAGTATCACCCTATGGACTGAAGGGTTGAGGGTTCAATTCCAGTCAAGGGCATGTACTTTGGTTCAGGCTCAATCCCTGGCCTGTGTGGGAGGCAACCAGTCGATGTTTCTCTCTCTGTGTCTCTCCCTCTCCCTTCCATTCTCTCTAAAAACATCAATGGAAAAAAATATCCTTGGACTCTAGCCAGTTTGGTTCAGTGGATAGAGCTTTGGCCTGTGGACCAAAGGATCCTGGGTTCGATTCCGGCCAAGGGTACCTACCTTGGTTGCAAGCTCCTCCCCGGCCTGGGCCCTGGTCAGGCCTCCTGCAGGAGGCAACCAATCGATGTGTTTCTCTCACATCGATGTTTCTCTGTCTTTCCCTCTCTCTTCCACAGTCCCTAAAAAATCAATCGTAGTTTCTCTGTCTTTCCTTCTCTCTTCCATAGTCCCTAAAAAATCAATGGAAAAAATAAGTAAATAAAATAAAAAAGAATGTTTTTTAAAAATTATATATATATTATCTCAGGTGAGGATTAACAAAACATACACCCACACACAAAACAAACAAAAGAAACAGAACTTAAGGTCTTTCAACCTCTTTATACTTAAAATGAAAATGGTGAAACCAAGGGGGAGCTGCAAGGTGTACTGTCCTTGGTTTGGAAAATGTACATTTAGTCCACAAACTTTTAAAAACTGAATGTGGATAATATTTTAAAAAATTAAACTTCATTTAAAAATTGTTTTACAATGAAAGACGAATTCAAGAAGTAAAAGCATTGTAGCAACGATGTGTTTTAAGAGTTACCTATATTGTATATTCTGCAGACATATCAGTTTTAATGAAAATTCAGTTATTGATTTCTGATGTAGAAAGGGAAAAGGATCTCTTCCCCCGTCCATCTAAGCAGGGGCCCTATAACAAAAATACAGATGAACAAGAGAGTAGCATACAAATTTATTTAATGTACATTTTACATGACACAGGAGCCTTCCTAAGGAAATGAAGACCCGAGGAAAGAGTTAAACCTGAGTGTCGCTGTGCTAGGTTTGATGGTGCGTGGCAGGTCATGAAAAACTGTGATAGGACAAAAACGGGGTTGAGCTCAGGATAGTAAACTGGGGGAAACAGGAAGGCCTGTTCATTCAAATTCTTCTTGGTGTCTTGGAGATAAAGACAGTCCTTGCCTCGGCATAGGTAGGGCGCCTCTCACATGACAGCAAGGCATCTGCTTCAGGAGAAGGGCAGCAGGTTCCGCCTGCACCTGCTGCTTCTCAGATTCCTTCAGCTTAAAATACTCAATATGCCAAGGTGCCATATTTTGGGGTAGTGTGTCTTGAGCCCTGTCCCTGGACACTTATATTTGCATAAAATATTATATCAGACTGCAACCAAGGGATCTACAGTCACATTGTTTGATATAAAAAATTGTTGGAAAAATAGTTGTTCATGTTCCTCTTTCTGTGCTATATTATTTAGTTCTTTTTCATTTTGTTTCCTGGCATAATTATATAGACAAAGGCTCAGTCAATTAAAAAAAAAAAGCTCACCAATCGCATTTCTTTTTGTTTCATTTCATGATAGTACTGAAAATAATTGGGTCACATTAAGGAGGGGAGATACTAAAAGTTGATCTGTTCCAGATATCAATATATGGGTGTACCGCTGCCAGGGCACACAGGGACCGTCAAGGTAATGCAGGAGAGGAACAACTTTCCCTCCACCGTCTTAGATTCTGTAGCTGGGACCTGTGAATTCAACTGGAAAAAGGTAAACAGGAGGAAAGGTTTATTTCTCATGTACACAGCAATTTCACACAAAAAGAAGTTAAAATCCAAAGAAGCAGTTAGGTCTGGGAGCTTACAAACAATGTTGACAAAGGACAATAAATCGTGGAGAAGTGACTAGACAAAAGTGGTGGCTGTGCTTCTAGGGATGATATATTGTGGGAAGCTAACAACTAGGAAATGCATGGTACACACAAATTTTTAGTAGGTGATATGGTTGCAAGAGAAATCAGTGGGTCCCCTTTCTCTGACATTAGTGGGAATGGGGTGGCTCTTGGGATATCTTGAGAAAATGAATTTCCTAAGACTCGCTGGGGAGAGTGAATGGTTTCTATTGGCGTGGAATTAAATGGATTTCTTGGGTTGTAAAGTCCCATACCTCTTAACCCAGTCCTGCAAAAAGCGTAGCTGGGGCTCCAGCAGAGCTAAGAGGAGGGCCAGGGTCCTGAGTGCCTGTGCCATGGTGGAACTGAATCCAGTACAACATTAGCTAATCACAGTCCATCAGGCCATTGTGTGGCGTCCACATGGCCATGAGCCACGTGAGCTCGGGGGAGTGCGCCCCCTGCAACAGGAATCAGGTAAGAGCAGCAAGAAAGAGAGAGGCTCCTTTGTTCAAGAGGTATCTTAGATTTTGCACCTTTGTAGTGGTCACACCTACTCTGGCCAATGACTCGCTCCCAGATGTGACTGACAAGTAAGCACTTTCCCACATCACGCAGACCTTACTGGACATGCGTCTATTGTCCAGTCCCATCTCACAGCGATTTGTGGGGGACAGACTTGGAGAATGTTTTATTTTTTTAATATATTGTATTGATTTTTTACAGAGAGGAAGGGAGAGGGATAGAGAGTTAGAAACATCCATGAGAGAGAAACATCGATCAGCTGCCTCTTGCACACCCCCTACTGGGGATGTGCCCGCAACCAAGGTACATGCCCTTGACCGGAATCGAACCTGGGACCCTTCAGTCTGCAGGCTGATGCTCTATCCACTGAGCCAAACCGGTTAGGGCTTGGAGAATGTTAACTGCAGCTTTCTGGCAAAGCTGTATAAACGGCCTGCCTCTACTATTTAGTCTTCCCTTTATTTCTTTCCTGTTATTTAGTAACCAGGTTGTTATTACGGTACCACTGTGGTCTGAATGTGTGTGTTCCTTCCTAATTCCCATGTTATATCCTAACCCCCAAAAAGGAGGG